TAACCTGTTCAGTCAATATAATGTTACTTTTTATATACATTTTCAATTCTGACCATTTGGCACTGGACAACAATTGGTGTGTTCTTAATGCTCCCTCCCTGAGGACTAGTTTTCATGGTATCAGAGGGATCCATCTCTCCTTCCAATGATGGGAGGTAACCAACAAACTTACCCACTCCTATGAGCCTCACCAACTACCAGCAAAGCAAGATAATCCTAATAGTGAAGTAAATGCACACATACCTTGGCAACAGCCAGCAGTTCTCTAATTGGACTTAAGTCTTGATCAACAAGAGGAACACCATGCCTGGTACTGGAAACCTCACTAATTACTCAGAACTAGCTAAGTCACTATTACTAGAAAAGAATCTACTATTACTAATTGACTAAACCATCCTGTTCACTAACAACAATCCTTTTCTGTCATTCTTACTCTTCCATTCTAGATTTGCCGTTGGTATAGAGGGATTAGAATGGCCACAATAGCCTATACCTGTCTTATATGTAGGTTTATCCAGTGTACTGCCTCTCCTGTGACAGGATGCTGTTTAACAATGCATTTTCAGAGAACTGTATTTTTAAATTGTCAACATTTCAAAAGCAAGATGACAAAATGTAAGTATATTGCCTTTATTCCATTGTCTTGGTTTTTCTGTCTTCTGATTCAATCAATGAAAATATTTTCTCTTCCTATTCACTCCCTAGATAGTTTTAACTGATACATGAGCACCATCTCTTGGTAAAAATGAATCATAAATTTAAAGATTTTCATGAATGGCTATTCCTCAGCAGTTATCTTGTATGTGGCGGTTCCAAAATTGACTCAAATACATGTAAGAGTAAAGCAGCTACATCGTCATGTTTTTAAATAAAATTGACCCTTGAAATGTTGAGAAAAGACAATTGTATATTCCTTTCCACTGTAGCACTAAAAGCAAACAGGTAAACCATGATTCCATAACCCTCTTGCTTTTTGCTCCAGACTCCTAGAACATGAGCTCCCTGGGAGCCCAGTATGCTCAGGCCTTCTCAAAAACTGATCCAAGGTCATTTCAAAGGCACCAGATGGCATTATATGACTCTACATTCCCCAGCCTCTTGGTTCTAAGTGTACAATTCAGCCATGTGCTCTCCTCCAAGTGAGTGATTCTATTTATTTATTTATTTATTTATTTATTTATTTATTTATTTATTTTTTATTTTTTGGTTTTTCGAGACAGGGTTTCTCTGTGGCTTTGGAGCTTGTCCTGGAACTAGCTCTGTAGACCAGGTAAATCTCGAACTCACAGAGATCCGCCTGCCTCTGCCTCCCGAGTGCTGGGATTAAAGGCGTGAGCCACCACCGCAAGCTTTATGTAGGGCCTCTTCTCTACCACCAGATATACTGGGTGCTGCACTGTTTCCACATGTTGCAATACTTAACCTTTTAAAACTCAACATATAAAAAAATCTTAAAATCATATTTATTAAACTTATAAGAAGATTAAGTTACATATACATAGCAACATCATGATTTTAGGACTGTAAAAAGGAAATAAAGGAGGAAATCCCATTACACCAATATTACTGCATGTTTGCACCTATAAAATCTGTACAAAAATTTGTTTACTTGTAAAAATTGTAACTTGAGACCTGATATTGTCAAATGGTGATACAGAATAGATATAAAATGTGTGAATCATTTTAATGTCATAAAAGTTTACAATATCTTGCAATCTGTTTATTATTTTTTAATTAGAGAGGAGAGATATTTAAAAGACTAAGTCCAACTGTGTGTCTTGTATATTTTATCATAACATGAATAATAAAAGTTGTGCAAATACGTTTGGGAAATAAAATAGTTTGATTTGTTGTTCCTTAAGAGTTTGTGCATTATATACTATTGTGGAATATTAACTAAATAGTACACAGTCAAATAAATAACCTCAAAGCAGTTCCTTTGGTATTTTCATAAGTAAAATAGTATGTGATCAAGCAATATTTCATGCGGTAATCAGAAGTATTTGTGGGAACATGCTCTCTTGCACTGATTAGGATACACACATGTGCAGAAAGTTTACTGGGGAGCACTCTTCAGACAAAATTCTGTATATAAATAGCAGTAACAATATCCATCAGAGGGAGAAGCTGACTCAGGAAAAGTCATGTGAGTTCTTCGGGGACCTCTGCATTAACAATGTTTCAAGATACCTCATATTTCAGCAAGGGGCCTGTAATGGTTTGAATGAAAATGGCCCCCATAGGCCCTTAGGGAGTGACACTATTAGGAGGTATGGCATTGTTGAATAAGTGTGCCTCTATGGGAGGAAGTGTGTCACTGGGGTTGGGACTTCAGGTTTCAGAAGCTCAAACCACACCCAGTATCACTCTCTTTTCCTGATGCCTGTGAATCTGGATGTAGAATGCCCAGTTCCTTCTCTAGCACCATGTCTGTCTATGTGCAACTATGCTTCCCACCATGGCAATAATAGACTAAATCTCTGAAACAGAAAGCCAGCTCCAATGAAATGCTTTCCTTTACAATAGTTACCATGCTCATAATATCCCTTCACAGCAATAAATTGATATGGGAGTCCCCTTTGTGTGCAGTGATTACCATTAATGAATAAAGAAACTGTTTTGGACCTATAGCAAGGCAGAACATAGATAGGCCAGGAAAGCTAGGTTGAATGTTGGGAGAAAGAAAGACAGAGTCAGGAAGAAGACACGAAGCCGTGATGTGCTGAATAAGCCACAACCATGTGGCGATACACAGACCAATAGAAATGGGTTAAATTAATATGTAAGAGTTAGCAGAAGCTAGTGCTAATGAGCCAAGCAGTGATTTAATTAATACAGTTTCTGTGTGATTATTTTGGGTCTAAGCTAGCTGGGTGGCCGGGAACCAACAAGCAACCTCCCTCCAACATAGAATGCTAACAAAGACAGGTCCTAAGACTTTATACTGCAAACCCAGAAGTCAATGCCCTTGATCTGCCACCAGCAAGAAGACATAACCTTGTGTAAAGCAGATCATATCTCATTCACAGTCCAACATCTGAGCATCTAGTCGTGTATGTCTTTCATGTGAAGGACTATATCAGATGGGTGCCTCAGCACTCACCACAATGCTGTTGTTTGCAGAAGGGAGGCTTTCATGTTTTTTTTTTTTATATTTTAGACTCAATTTCAACTGTTCCCACAATAATAAACACATCCTATCCTTTATTCAGTCATTTACATTTTTGTTTATTTAATTTGTATGTGCTTCCATGAGTTCATGCACACAGCATGCATGCAGATGCCCTCAGGAACTCAGACCCCCCCCCCCAGTTCTAGAGTTAAACCTTGTTGGGAATTGCCTGATCCGGGTTCTAGGAACTGAACCCAGGGTCTCTGCAAGAGTGATAGGTTGTCTTAACCCCTGGGCCATCTCTCCAGCACACAGCCCATCCTTTAAACTCAGATATTTAATATTAAATTCTTAGACTGACAGTAACTCTGCAAAAAGGATCTTAGAATCTCACATTCAGGAACATGACAATAAAGACTTACATAGCATTCAGTACTTTTTAATTCAAGAATAAATTTTCAAGGTACTATTTTCGATACTGTCCTGTAAATGTCCTTGTTCCCAACCTATTCATGTATGTACTTTAAGCCACTGCGACAAAAATTTGGGGGATCATTACTCAATAATCTTTCCACACCCTCTCACACAATGGTCCCTGAGCCTTGGGTGCAGGAGCTGTGATGTTAATGTATCCAGTGCATCTGGGTTCCCACAATCCCTGGATCTCTCTATTGTGTCCAGTTGTGTTTTACTGTAATGATCCATAGTTAAAGTTGGCTGTGAATTGCCTGACCTCGGTTGCTGGGAAGAGAAGCTTCTCTGATGAGGGGTGGTAGTTACACTTCCTGGGAGGATAAGCACAAGATTGAGAATATAGCTAAGAACTGTGATGGTCTAGAAAGTGGCAGTAATAGACTCTCTTCTAAGGAGCGTGACCTCATTGTCCCTGAGAGCTTGGGAACTTGGCGAGGTTTTTAGTACCAGGGATGATTTCCTATCAAGTGAACTTCAAGTCTAATTAGACAGCTGTTGGTTACAAACATGTGAGTGCCACTTACTTCACCTTTATAAATATGTTGGCATTCTGGTCATTATTGTGGTTAATAGGAGTCACTGCTGGGTGTGAAGCAGGGGTGGAAAGATTGTCAGAGCCAAAAAAAAAAAGTCTCTCACAGAAATAGCAGCATAAAAAATGACCTAAACAATTGCAATATCAATAGACCTACTGATACATAAAGGGGAAAATCTCTAGACAAAGAGCTATAAGCAACAAATAACTACAGGGATGAGCCCCTTAATTGAGTATCCAATACGAAGAGTTCATCCCTGAAAACTTACACACACAAACAACAAAAACAGACTAGGCAGGTTATGGTAATTAATGCTTTAGCCTACATATACACACATGCATATATGTGTAGCAATAATAATCAAAGAAAAAGAAGTTATCAAAGTGAGAGTTAGGAAGCAGGAGAGGGGCGAAAGGGATGGGACTTAGAAGAGGCTCAAGGGAAGCAAGGCAAAAGGGGAAATTGATGCAACTGTATTTTAATTAAATATATAAAAATAAAAGTTGAAAAAATAAAAATAATTTTAAAAATCATCTGGGGAAATGTAGAGTCTTTTAAATTGCTAAGAAAGCAGGGTCAACAAAGACACAAATTGCTTCCTAAAGATAGTTTATAGATTTAACATTGGGTCCTAGAGCATCCCCTTTTGATAATGTGATGCTTTGTGGGGTGGAATTGTCTGTGTCTTCTGGATAAAAAGCGTTTCAATGCACAATAAACATAGAATAAAAACATAGGTGGCAGCAGCTAACTCAGTGCTGAAGTCTGAGAAGTTGTATTATTTCCAGCAGGTACAAAAGACACATTACTAAGTGATTGTGATGTTTAAATAAATACAAAATATTAAATTGTCCTCACTGTAAGTACATTATGTTTTTTGCATTGTGGAACATTTCACAAATTTGCATGTCACCCTTGTACAGGGGCCATGAGACTCTCTGTATAATTTTGATCTTAGTATGTGCTGCCAAAGTGAGTACACTCCTTTTTTTAAATGGCAGCAGGAAGAGAACATTTTCTGTCTCTGTCCTTCTTCTCAACATGCACACTAGTCATAGCATTTATTGATGATCACAAGAACTGTGAAATTACTGAGTCTTGAGTTGTTTGTGTCATGAACTATAGACATTTGCAAAGATGCTTAAACACGTGATCAGTATTAAATGTTCCCAATAGCAGGAGCTGTGTATTCAACATCTCTTCGGGGGTGGTGCATCTGGCTTATAGAGAAGTCAGTGTATGTTAAGAGAAACATAGTATTAGAATTTCAGTTCTACTCATGAACTAGTATGCATGTCTATCTAAAGAAGTAGCATTAGAAGATTCTGCTGAGACAGAGAAACCTGTTGTAGAAGAATATTATTAATTACATTGTACCCTGCATTGAGAGTTCATGGCCTACCACATAAGTATGCTTTTCTTCAACGTTCTTAGTTCCCGTATCCTTCCAATACTAGCAAATCGAATGAGAGTCAGCTAACTGAGTTCACGCAAAACTCCCTGCCTCCTTTTTCTCTTGTCCTCCGCAATTAAAACAACTGTTCTTAGAAACCAGACCACTCCCTTTAGATACCTGCACTTGATTCTTAGGCAGAGATCCTACCCACCACTTGGGAGATAAAGGAAAGGCATCACAAGGGTCCCCTCACACCCTGTAGAGCCACATATGGCCAAGGCTATGGTTTCTTTGGCTATTTGTATGTGATATTATCTAGTGCTCTTTTGTTCCCATGTAAAATAACTCATACTGTCTCTCCAGACTCCTTTTTTATTGGGTACTGTACATTCATAACCAATCAGAAATCTTGCTGGATATTTAAAGCCCTTTCCTGATCCTTGTCTTACCATTTCTCTGCAATCACAGACCTGAATGAGCTCTTTCTTCTCATTGTCCATGCACACAAACCTTGCCCCAGAAGTTTCCTGCTTAATGCATTCTGAGTTGGCTCCTTGCACCACTGAGATGACTTTCAGGAAACTCAGTGGTAACTATTGCTTCAATACAGACAGCCAACTAACTTTATCTTCTTTCTCCGTGAACTATAATTCAGAGTATGGTACAGCCTCAAAGTCAGAGTATCTTAGTTCAAAACAGGGCGTCAGAACTATTAGCTGTGTGGTTTCTGACAGCTTTGTTAATCTCCTGCTATCAAACTCTATGTGAAAACTGTATACTATAAAGGACTTATACAATAGAGGTTTTTCTTTTTTTTTTTTTGGAGAGCAAATTAGTGAAATGATTTCTTGTGCAGCACAGAACACATGTTGAATAGATGTTAGTTTGATTTATAATCCTCTTCTTCAATGAAGACAAGCCTCTGGTGATTATTCACATTATAGACATGATAAGAGCAGAATCCCCGATAACCTTTCATTTTGAGCTATCTACTAAATGGTTTTTAAACAGATTTTTTTCTTTGAGCTGGGAGATTCCTTCAAGACAGATGATACAGTAATTGTTGAACATTAAAATAAAGGTGATACATCCTCCAAGGGAAATTGGACAACTTTTGTGAAAGCCTATTTAAAGCAGTGGGATGGGGTGGGAGACATTGCTCAGCAACTAAAAGCACTTGTTGCTCTTGTAGAGGACCCAGGTTTGGTACCTATCACAAATAGGGCACTCCAATTCATCTCTGACTTCAGTTCCAGGGGATTTGGCACCCTCCTCTTGCCTCCAGAACCAAACACACATGCAGCACTCATACATACTTGCAGGCAAAATATTCTTAACTCATAAAAAATAATCAAACACCAAGGATCTTCAGCTCTGAGCTGGAAGATGAACTCACTATGGATTCTCCAAATCAAATTTCACAGCTGCTGTTCATCGTGGACCTGCTCAGGCACACATTACTGTCCTCTGGATCTAATTCATGAATCTCAAGTCTACTCTCAGAATCTTGAGTTCACAACCCTCCACCTTGCAAGCTCACAGGAAAGCAAAATCTCCAACCTTTCTACTTTAAAAACTGAACATATCATTTAATCTACATGGGTAGTAGAAAAAGACAAAATCTCCTGAGTAAATTGGGAGCATCCATGGGGACACAGCATCCATGCGGACACAGCATCCATGGGGACGATCCTGCCACCACCTTACTCTTCCTTATTCAACACCCATTGTGTCTGCGTGGTAGCATTTCTGACTCTTGTGATCCTTCCTTCTAATGCCAGAGTGCTGATATCTGTTCCATAAGGCTCTCTTTCTACTTGGTTTCAGCTATCACTATAACAACAAATCTAAACTCTCCATGCCTTATATCTTTCTCCCAAAGATAGAAATATGTGCCTAGCTAATTGCTCATTTGACTATCCCTACAGGTTTCCAAATCCAGCATCCTGAACATGAAACTGTCTATTGAAGACTTGTTCCTGTGTTAGAATCTATCTTCTGTCTAGGTGTTGAAGCCCTCTCTTCTCTTACTGTGGTTGTCACAGTATGGTGACTCCTTACTCACCTCACTATCAGCCAGTGTGTGTTGTGACAGAAATAATGATAAAACTCACTTAGGGAAGAAAGGGCTTTATTTGACTTGCAATTCCAGGATACCATCGACTTTGAGGTGTAGTGACAGGAGTGTGAGGTCACACTGTATCATGAGAAACAGACAGATAAATGCTGTACTTTGCTTGCTTTCTTCTTTATTCTGTCTGGGTCTCCAGGCTTCAGAATGATGCTGTCCACATTCAGGATGGGACTTCTCTGGAAGCTCCCTTACAGGCACTCTCAGAGATTTGTCTACTATGTTGTTATCAATCTAACCACAATGAGAAGCAAGATTAACCATCACAGGTACCAAATCCATTACACTCCCAAGGAAGTTCCTGATAGAATTGCTTCTCGCCACTGATACCAATGTACTCACAAACAATGGTTATAGATGCCTAACCTACCTCCTTTTATTCTTTCTTTCACTGTGATTTATCACAGCAGAATAAATGCAGAATTCTTTAGATTTTAGCTATTGTTTAAGCACATTGAAATGACTTGACAATGGCCTTATGTCAAAGTCCAGTCTTTCAAATTCATTTGCCAAGCCTCGATCCATATCCAACACTCGTGCATCTTCTTTCCTCATTCCCTTCCTGAGACACACTGGAGTCAACTGTGGTCTATTACTCCATGCAATGTTCTCACTGTCGCTTGCTAGAATTGCTGTGTCTCCAATATTTCATTAGACGATCTGTTTTTACATCTTTATCTCTACTAAGATGAGATTTTGAAAATGGAAGAATTGCTAATTACTTTAATATTTAAGTGTGTGCTGTATGATAAATCTAAAGAGCATTCAATGCTTTAACACTATTTTGATAAGACAATTTCTGCCATCTAAATCCAAGAGGAAAAATAGGGACTGGTTATTAAGGCAAATATTCAGGCATTCAAAAAGTCTTTGATCAATGTGATGAGCTCGGCTGGTCACATCAATATATGTATGAAATCATACTAGTCCAAAGTCAAACAGACAAAAGGACTAAATTATGTTTACGGCAATATTATTTTAAAAAATACAGACGATTTTACTTTTAGGTATGATGCAGTATACAGCTAATCTACAGAAAGAAAAATATACCTCCAAAACCAAGAAACTGCTCTTTGAAGACATCTAAGAAAAGAGACATTCAGTCCAAAGAACTAGAACTCCACCAAAGATTTTAACCTAATGTTTAAGGCTATGGAACACGTTCATTTTCTCTGTCAAATAAAGAAATGAAAAACAAGGAAGTTTTCCAGTACATCAGGGCAAACCCCTATCACAGCACAAAGAAATAATAAAGAAAATCTACTTTTATTAAAGGCAGGAACACACACACAGCAAGGCACACATAAAGCAAGACTTCTGAGAAACAGAGAGGGGCTCAGGAAGTCTATGTTCAACTTCTCCTGGGTGGCTGGGATTTGTAAGGGTCCTGGGTAGGCTGGAAAGTAATATTCTCCCCTTAAGATTGGTCAGCTTAAATAGCAAAGGGGAAGCCCACACTTCCAATAAATCTATCCTGGTCCAGACTTAAGCGTCTTACTTTTACGGAACACATTAAGTAGTCTTAAAGGTACATTTTCCTATGTATCTTGTACAGACAGTCATATGAAAGTTCAAACTTGGTATCTTCCATATCAGTTGGTTTGTGTGTATTTATGTTTATTTTTCCTAATTTGGGGCTATCTAGTTCACCTCTTACCCATTTTGTAATTTTCTCACTGAATGGTGGCTGTGATGTGCTGACAATTTTACACTCCCCGGGTTACATTCTGCTGCTCAGGGGGAGACTTTTTTATTTGCCAGGCACAATTGACCATTCAGGATATTTTGTGCTTGTCCTTTCCTTGGTGTCTAGCCCATTACGGCTCTTCAGTACAGGAGCGGGTCATCATTTCTCTCACCTCTATCACCTCTCAACCAGTGGATCTTAAAGGCCTTATTCAATGCTGAGAGTCGCCAATTTTCCTGTTTGACATTTTGGTCTCTTAAAGTTCTTTTCTACTTGACTTCTTAGAAACTGTCCATGTATAAATGAACTTTAGGAAATAATAACTGTTTCCAGAAGCACTTTCATCCTGTTTTTAGGTTATATTTCCTTGTGGTTCTCTTTTGCTTCAGCATCTTGGATCCTTGCTAATCAGTCACTGATTCTTCTCACGGTCTGAGAGACAGCTGCAAACCGAATCACCTGTCTTTAGGGGTATGCACCAATGGCTAGCACTTAAAAATAACATCTGCCGATAATGAAGGACTAGGACTTAGACAGATTCCTGGTGGGCAGGAAGATAAGAAAGGGGGTCACAAGTAGATGATAAAGATGACAAACATACAGCTTTTTCTTCACCCTACAGACCTGACCCAAATCCTGGCAACTTTAGACAAAGACCTGGCAGGCCTTTTCTTACTGATAAGTACCTCTGGCATAAAGACTTACATGTTTTGATGGTTCATCTTTGACAGAATCTGTCCACCTAGGAAACAAGGCTCTGGGCATG